CTGTACCCCTACAGTCCAGAGCCCGCCGGTCCGGTCTGGGTCACGCTGTACCCCTACAGTCCAGTCTGGGTCACCCTGTACCCCTACAACATGAGGAGAAGAAGCTGTTGGAGGGGGACAGGGTCCCCGAGTAAGTCAGCCTCCTCGTCTGCCCCCAGGGAGGTCCAGCTGATGACCAGCTACTTCCGGCTGCTGGCGGCCATCGACCTCCAGCACCACGCCTTCCGGTCGCAGGGAGCCACGCTGGACCGGGTCGTCGACACCTTCTTCGAGGTGAGCCCCTGCGCCCGCGTTCCCGCGACGCGACTGACCTCTGCCCCGGGACGAGACCCGGCTCTCCGGCGGAGACTCGCGTGCCCACGTCCCCGGAGCCCCTGCAGGCCGGTCCCGGGACGTCAGAGAGCCCCCTGCTTGAATTCTCGGGGAAGCTGGGAGCAGCCTGGGCACAACCGTGGGCGCCTGGGGGTGAAAAGGGAGGGGGGGCGATCTTCCGCAGTTCAAAATACTGCTGCTACCCACCCCTGCAGAAACACACTCTTCGACAGCGCCAGTGTACCCCCCAGGGGTGGGGCCCGGTCACGGGTCAGGGCCAGCTATTCTGTTATTCTGCACCCCTACAGTCCAGAGACCACTGTTCCTGTGTGTGTCGCACTGTACCCCTACAGTCCAGTCTGGGTCACACTGTACCCCTACAGTCCAGTCTGGGTCACACTGTACCCCTATAGTCCAGAGATCACCTGTCCAGTCTGGGTCACACTGTACCCCTACAGTCCAGAGATCACCGGTCCAGTCTGGGTCACACTGTACCCCTACAGTCCAGTCTGGGTCACACTGTACCCCTACAGGGGCCCCTGAAAGGCCTTTACTAGGAGACACAACGGCACCCCGCCCCGCCCCCCCAAAATCCAGCACACACGTTTACAAAACAACCTGTCGCCTTTATTCCAAACCAAGCTGCCCCTCGGGCAGGCAGGGTCGCCGAGAACAGCAGTCCGCTGGGAAAATAACAAAATCCCGCAATCCCGGAACCGGGAGGCACCTCCGACAACGGGGTCTTCCCGACCTGTGGCGCAGGAATCAACCCCCCGTCCCCGTCCCAGACTCCAGCTCCAGACCCGGAGTCCGGGCGCAGGAGATCCGGCAGGGACCGGAGGGAGCGCTCCCCAGGCTGGAAATAGTCCGCCGGCTGAGGGTCCGAGTTTTTGGCAGCTGCGCAGTCCCGGTCTTGGCACAGGGTTCGACAGACGGGGGCAGACACACGGACACGTGGCTCAGGACAACCGCGGAAGCTCAGGTTCCCCGGAATCCTTCGGGGAACAGCCGGACGAGATCCCGGGATTCCGAAGGGCAGCGGAGGGGCGCCCCGATCCTCACCGCCCCGGCTCTCTCCCTCTCGTTGCAGGCGGCGGAGGAGGAGGAGGAGGAGTGTCACAGGCAGGAGAAGGACTGAGAGCCCCCCACAGCCCCCCCCCAATAAAGACCCTGCTGACCCACACCGGCTCGCTTCCTCGTGCCGTGAGAAATTCCCAGATTCCCGCCCCTCCCTGCGGGGGATCGGCGCTCCTCGCTCTGGTCCTGGAGAGGCACTGCGTTCACGGTCATGAAGACCCTTCATTGATTCCAGTCACTGAGACCCCTAGCTGAGAGTTCTGCAGCCGAGACCCCTACTTGATTCTGTGAGGTCACTGCAAGCACCCCAGGGGACCAGGAGAGAGGAGCCCCGATACAGATCACGTAAAAAAAGCAGGAGGGTGCTGATCAATACCGGCCTGAGATCAGCTGCCCGGTCAGAGGGCGCCACGCGGCTCAGTCTGAACAATGTCAGCCTGCTGGAACAGGGGTGGGGGAGAGGTCACTCTGCCCCCTGGTGGCTCACCCCAGCAGCAGAGGGAGGGACTGCCCGTTTCCCACGGTGCTTTGCGGGTGGCCCAGCCAGGCTGAAATACTGAAGGGGGGTGTTTGAGCATGCTCCCACGTCCGCTTGGCGGTGTGCCCCCCGTCGGTCACGGTCTCAGGGAGGCAGGGGGGCGGTCAGTTGCCGGCGGGGTCCAGCGGGCCGGTGACCCGGAAGTGGATGCCGTCGCCGGGCAGCGGGGAGGGGATGAGTGGGCAGAGCCAGGCCAGGTACCAGCGCCGGCCCAGGCACTCCTGGAGGTTGCGGCGCCAGCCCAGGCTGTAGGGGCGGCGGCTGGAGTACCACTCCCGCGTGGTCTGGCCGCGCAGCATCAGCGCCGCGTGGAAGAACAGGAAGG